ATCTATAATCTGAATATTCATAATCACAAAATTGTCACGTGACTTCTCAATAATCACAAAATTGTCACCGTGCAACTTTAGATCATTAGATCATTAGCTTATAAAGTTGATCAATGAACATAAATTGATCTTACAGGTCTCACGAAAAACCCTTAGGTCTCACGTGAACCCATTCCTACATCTATTTTCTCTTACAACTATATCTAGTTCACATCCAATGAGAGAAAAATTCATGGTTTGAACACATTTATGCAATTCATTAATTAGACAATATGCGCACATACAATATAAAATTAAAACAAATTACTTTTATAAAAACCCCAAATCAATAAAAAAACAAAAGGACTAAATAGTGGAACATGACAAGAAACACAAGTAGTCACAATAAATGGTATACGTGTGGATAAAGTTGTTTCCAAAAGTATAGGAAACAAGATGTATAATCATAGGAAAAACAAGCAAATATAGGGAAACAAGATAATGTTCCAACCTAGAAGGCATTGAAACCGACCTATATATGTGACCTTAAAATTTTCGTAGCTTCCTATATGCATTACATGAGCGACAATATTGTCTTGATTTGACTTGAATGGAAGAGATCACGAAACTCTAAACCTTGTTGATTTGCAGACGTTAAGTGTACCATACATGAAGTCAACAGACAAGACTAGCGGAATACCAACGCGTAGGGTAAGAAATTTGAAGTTTTTGATTTGATTGATTACACTATGCATGGTATACATGGATATATCATTTTGTATTCGAATGTGCTTCTTCAGATTCCTTTGTCGGTATACAAAATTAGGAAGGTGCCATCAAAATACATTTTTCGTGTTTGTTCAAGTGGTTAACAACTTCACATTCATTTATTATAAAGGTTTTAAGTTTATGTATGTACTGTTTAGAGGATTAGCTAGTAATTGCGTGTCGTTAACCAATAAGTGGAATATTGGTGCAAGTTACAACTATTCGAGGCAATTGGGACAAGTTGTGGCTAAACTTAGCTAGGAAACAATGTTAACTATATCAATAATTATTGTTTGTGATACCATTCAGGGTCATTTGGGGGAAGGAAATAAAGAGACAAAGAGGGATCTTAGAAGTCGAGGATTGTGCTTGGTGCCGCTGTCATGCTTGTCATACATTACAGGTGGAGGTGAAGGCATTTGGCCAGGGTCCTAGCTAATTAACCTACATGCATGATCACCCTCAAGAACTTGAACTTGAGTGAAGAGTGCTTTGATGTATATTTCCCCTAATTGAAGCTAGATCAGTTGAGTCTTAGAGGCGATGGCTACAAACCAATAACTACAGAAGGCGCTCTAAAAATTTAATCAATCAACTGGTGAACAAGTATTTAGCGAAGTGTTTGGTCTCCACCTTTAAAAGACAATCATGTGTTTGATGTTAAGTGTTTAGATCTTTTAATCTTTTCAAAAGTTTAGTTAATTTCACTTCTTTCACAACGAAAAAATGGAGCAAATTTGGTCATCTTGTAGAAGATGTTATCAAGTATGGACCAAGTTTGATCCATTAGAGAGTGGATGTAATATTGTTATAATGATGATTAATCTTGAATTAGTTAATTAATTAGGGTTCTTCTTAACTCGTGTATTTTTGTATTAATAAACTCCCTATTAATTTTCTTTTACTTGTTGAGAGATTATTTCTGACTTTGGAAATTCACATTGTTTGTTTTTAGCTTAAAACTTTATATTGATGTATCCAGATGTTTTGTTTTGTTTAAAGTACTTAGTTAAGCGTTGCCTAGGTAAGCATCTTATAGTAAGAGGAGTGTTATGAGCCCTGTAGACCATCCACATGGGAGTGGTGAAGGAAAGGCCCCGATTGGTATGAAAAAACCCACAACCACTTTGGGTTATCTTGTACTTGAAAAAAGATGTAGAAAAAGAAATAAACTTAGTGATGGTTTGATTCTTCGTCACTGTGGTAAATAGGAGAGAAAATATAACTTTTTTCCTCGTGTTTACAACAAGTTATAAATGCAATACTTTTTTAATCTACAACTAGAAAATGTCTTCCTAAAATTTTGAAGGGAGGAAAAGAAATAGGACGAGTAAGTAGACCATACAAGGACAACCCATTACTCTTTTTTACACACACACATAGGAGTGCTCACGGTCCGGGTTGATCGGTTTGGAGCCGTTTTAACAACCCAATTCAATGTTGGCGGTTTGAAAATTTCAACCCAACCCAACCCAAACAAAAATTCAACCCAACCCAACCCAACTCGTTCGGGTTGATCATGTTGTGTTTAAACAATGTAAAATCACATAAAAATAAATGAAACTTTCCTTTGAAATACGACCGACCATTCAAGATAATATGCAAGTTCATTAAATATTTAGATATTACAATAAAATTGTTTAAACCAAATGATAATAAATCAATCAACAACAATAGTTTTAGACGTTTCCAACCCCGATGCTTTCGCTTTCTTGACGTTGAGGTTGGTCATGTCATGATTGTCATCTACAATTCAAAGCTAAAGTTAAGGTCGGGTTGTCGGGTTGATCGGGTTTTTTTGGGCCTGACCCGATTCCAACTCAATAAGGTCGGGTTGGCTAATTTTTTTATCGATCATGCATAGGGTTACCTCGGGTTGGGTTTTTTTTAAAAAATTCGGGTTGGGTTGGTCGGGTTCATCGGGTTTTTGAGCACCCCTACACACACACACACACACACACACATATATATATGGAAGATCAATTAAATGAAAACGTAATCAAAATAAGAGAATATGAGAACGATTAAATCAGATGTGATTTTCTACACAAAATCATATGCGATAACAAAATACAGTCAACGTAAGGGAATTCATTCAAGGTTCTCTAGATTGCAGATTTTAATGTCAATATTGACCTTAAGCATGGTAAGATAGATTAAGGTAGAAAGAAAAAGTCTTTCAATAAGCAACGGTAAAACTATGTAAAAATTTGTAGTTTCAAGTGATACCTACGAAGTTTGAATTAAAGTTAGTATTGATGCAACGAGGGGAGTCAATTTATTGCCTATGCATCAAGCCAATTGTAAGGACATGAGAAGGCTAATTCAATACATGATAGAGAGTTAACAATTATGGTAATTGTATTCAAGTTTTGTAGATGTTACCAACATGGCTCAAAGCGTACACGTACCACAATTAGGGTTTTTTTTATTAACCTGGATATCCAACCCGCTATGCGAGCCGACTAATCTCAGGGCGACCACATGCTTTGCAGATAGCCCGGAGCCACCGCATTTGAACCTTCGTGGCCACAAGGGGATTTTTATTCCTACTTGGATTTGAACCTGAGACCTCCTGGTACTTTTGACCTTTGGAGCCAAGCTCAAACGAATCAGGCACCACTCTTGTGGTTACCACAATTAGGATTGTAAACGAACCGAACGAACACAGATAGAGACTTATTCATGCTCGTTCATTTAACTTAGCTCCACAAACGAACGAACACGAACGATAAACAAAGAAAATTTTACGTGTTCATCTTAGTTCGTGAAGAAAATGTGTTTGTTTGTGTTAGTTTATGTTTGTTCATGAAGATGCTAAACGAACATAAATGAATGTAAACAAACAGACACAAATATAAAACGAGCAACCATCATTGCTCATCATTTAGTTTCTAAAAAATAATATAACAAAATGAAAAGCCAAGTATATAGGAGAGATGAAAAAATATTCTAAAAATTTAATTTAATTTAATTTAATTAGCAATTTCACATATTAATGTCGTCATAATATATAAATATATATATATATATATATATATATATATATATATAAACAAACTTTCAAACTTTCATGAACGTAAATGAATGAACGTGACCATTGTTCATGTTCGTTCATCTAACTAAACGAACAAAAAAAATGTGTTTATGTTTGTTAATTTATTAAATAAAAAAAATATAAATGAACTTTTCGTCGAATGTTTTGTTGAATCTTCAGTTCATTTACAACCTAACCACAATAGTTAAATGTCCTCGTTCGATTAATAAAAATTTGAGCTAGAGACACTGATTAACATCGTTGAAAAATATGATGGTGAAATTCATGTTGGAAAATTGGCCTCAACGTTTCCCAACAATCAAGCAATGAACAATTATAGAGAAAAGAAGACAAAAATCTACGTGAAAACTTCAAAAACAAAGAAAAACCACAAGCGTCCAAAGAGAAAATCCAACATGTAAAAATTGTTACAATCACACAGTTTTAATCGCTCAAGCCTCCACCAATAATGCCCACACTCTCAAATATTTAACTCACACCTTTCTACTCTCTAAAAGAAGAGAAGTTTTATTGAGACGATTTGAAACCTAAGCCTTGGATCCTCTTTTATAGACATGAAATCCCTTTCATCTTTCATTACTCCAACAATATGGGACAACCTTTCAAACTTTTATTTTATATTAGCCAAACAATTATCAATAATTCATTATCATCTAGATAGGCAAAGAAGATTTGGAGTTGATCAAGTTTTGAGTTGCAAGGTTAGACATCAGGTTAAGTTCAAATTATTAGACTCAGTCAGTTTGATAAAAAAAAAAAAAAAAAACTCTTCATTAAGAGAATGTTAAGAAATAGAGAATGATTAACCACCTTGAGTTTCTATTAATGGACTCGGATGAAGTCTTGTAGGTTTTGGAACAAAATATGGACTCCAGCATGGGAGGTCTTAGAAAAGACAAAGTTAGAAGGATTACGAAAATCTTTTGTGCCTGTGGCAGCCTAATAGTGATAAGATGTGCAAGAATTTGAAATCTATTTTTGAATATGTAAGAAAAGGAGATATCAAGACATCAAATCGGTGACAGTAAGTCAGGCCAAGTTTTTCGTTTCAGTAAAGACTAGTATATGCCTCAGGGCCTATATATGAAGTCAAATTATTAAGGCAAACATTGGTTTGGGAGTCTTGAAACAAAGGTAAGTAAGTGATAGAACATGTGTTCCATACCATATAAAGAGATGCTAAAAAGGCATAGAGTGTTTACTATAAGTTAGATCGTAATACCTCAACAATATTTACTTTGAATGTTATATAAGCATCAGTGCCTTCAGTAGCTATCGGTGTATGCATTGATTATACATCAGGGCATCAACTAGCATTAGCATTATACATCACATTGGATAAAGTATTTCTAATGGTGCTCATCCATCTTAGGTTTGATGAGCATTCCCATTAATGTCTAGTTAACGCATGATATATTTAATCAATGTATTTCAGACATGAGAGGTGTGTTTTCATGGCCTATGTAGTAATACATTATGCATGTACAAGAAGTTGTCTAGAATATGCATAAAAGTTCACTACTCAAGCATGTTACTAGTATGAGTAAAGTAACGACATTAATATAGTGGAAGTACATAGTACATGACAAGTAATAAACGGCATAGAGCGCTAGAGTTTCAAGCAGGGGGATAGAACGTTGGTAAAGGCGTCATTTGAAAAGGCATAGTCATATATGGCAAGTAAGGTAAATAAATTCCAAAGTATGATGGACCTAAATCGTTAGTTGCAAGAGTTGATAGAGTAGCCTATCACCCAAGTTGGCCAACAAAGTTACGAAGTAAATTGTCGACACTTTTCACTTGTCGAATTTGAGGGAATGCTTAGCTGATCATTCAGCTATTGTAAATTTGGAAGATATCAAGCTTTCAAGACGAGCTTACTTATGTAGAGAGGCTCACTGAGGTGCCAACCATACTAACAAAAAGTTTAAAGAGTAAAGATATAACTTTAATTTTAGTCAAACAACTTTTTTTCTTAGAGATTCAAGAACTGATAGGGGAATCAGGGATTAGTTTTGGACTAAAATTCCTGAACTTTTCAATTAGAATAGATCCGAGGACGTAATTTTTTAAAGGAGGGAGATTTGTGTGATACTATAAAATTGGTAAGTAAATAAATATGAAAAAGAAAAGGGAAAATAAAATAAAACAGGTTTTTATTTTATTGGATAAAATATGTGAATGAAAGAGTGAAAAAAAAGGCCAATTATGCCATTTAATGAAAGTGAGAAGTGAATGAACGAGTTTATATTCATTTGGACTAAAATGAAGGAAAATGTCCAATTGAGGGTGAAAATGTAATATGGTCCAGTCTTTAAGCCGGGGGGTCGAATTTTACTATATGATTGTTCGAGGGAGGTGTCAGATGTCGACTGGTCCAAATCTGAGGGACCTGTCCTACCAATATGACAAGTCTGTTTAGTTCCAAATTTTTGAAAGACACGACTTGATGTTCTTTGAAGCATGTTATTGGCTCGTTTAGTTAAAAAAAAAAGCCAAAAAGTTTCATATTTAAGTAGCCAAAACCTCTTGCTATATTCTTGTCTAAGAAATTTC